ACCGGCCGAAGGCGCACTCATCCGTTCCGTCCGTACAGTCCGTACGGTCAGTACGGATTTTACTACTCCGTTGGGTCCTCATCCGTCCGCGTTGCTGCGCTGGCGCCGAAGGCGTCGTACAATTTCTAACCCCGAAGGCGCATTTCTAGGGCCGAAGGCGGATTTCCCGCCGACGCCGAAGCGCCTGTGCGTAGGCGGTCTTCGCTCGTCCGCCTGTGCAGAGGTGTTAGTCCTCCCCGCCTACGAGTAGGCGACATTCGCGGCGGACATCCCGCCGACGTCAAACCCTATTTCGCTTACGCGTAGGCGAACTTCCCTCGTCTGCGCATAGGACAAACTTTCCTCGCCTACTCGTAGGCGAGAAGCTGAGTGTCTTGCGACCCTCATAACTCCCGGAGTTCTCCTCCGTTCGTGGCGTTCTTGGGCTCATTAGAATCAGCGCGTCGAGCTCTTTCCAACGAAACTCTAACCAAGTCAAGGCGTTAGGGAATTGACTAGGTTCTGAAGGATTCCTCTAGCGCCGAAGGCGGATTTCGCGCCTTGCGCCGAAGGGGTTATTCCTTAAGAGCCCGCATGCAGGGCGGTGCATGTCCCCGACGTTGCACCCAACTCCTGGATTCTACGAGTTCTCTCGAGATTCTCTGCGATCTTCCAGTTTCACTCTATTTTGATGCACCGATGACTATTTACACTGCTGCCGCAGTACAGTTTTCCAAAAATGTTTTAAATTCCTCAAAAATACCAAAAGTGGGGTACCACATCGCTTAAACCAAATTGATGACGGAATCTCAAAAACCATCCCCAGGAAGCCTTGAACTTATCATCACCTATCTTTATAGCCTCGCCAATTTGTTTTGCTTTGTGTCAAATGAGACTGGGCGGCAAAACAAGCGACATTTTGTCTGCAACATCAACCCATTTGTACAGCCGTTTCTCAAGCTCAAGAAACAATGATTGTGAAACGCAAAATTTGGATTCATAAGTGGCTTTGTCAACCCTTTGAGCTCATTTGCGAATCTCATCTTTGTTTGCTTTCAATTTCCGAATAACCTTCTCGTCAACACCGTATTGACGAGCAATGCTTTGATTAGTTGGCAGTTTGGATTGCTTCAATATAGTGATAATTTCCATTCTTTGACTGTCATTACGTTGGCCCTGATCTTTGCGTTTCATCACACGTTGTTCGCTCATGATTGCAAATGAACTCAAAATTGTTTCTAGTGTAGTAACTTTATTATTATATGGTGTGACTTTAATATTCCTAAGATTCGCATCTCAATTAAGTCTGCACCAGATTTCCGAGATCAAGTTGCAGACTTATGCGAGAGTATAATGTACTTGTTTCACATCCACATAAGCCAAAACACTCATATTATCATTAACTAGATGCATACCACATTATCCTCGAACAATGGGGTTGGGAGAGCATAAAACTCTGAAAATAGATGAAACTTTAAAGTATAAAAATCAATCAATTTATCAAGATTCATTTGATGTTTGATTCAATATCAAGATCTTGATAATGTTAAGTTGACTCGTGGTTAACAATTAATTAGTTATACTAGTTATCCATCTATTATATAAGAGTGCTATGTGATATGATTCAGTATTTCCAAAAGTATCTTTTTGTTTTGGTGAAAGTAGCTTTGTAAAAGTGAACCACAAAATTTATTTTTAGTCTTTCTTGTTTTACGTGTGAATGGACAACACATATGTATTAAGCATATAGCTACAATCATCTAGTTCACTGGATTCCAAATGAAAAGGAAGTTATAGTGCCTGACTTTAATGAAGTTAAGATTACATCTAATTATAACTCGAGTTACATTACTAAAACAGAGTTTAACTAACTAGATTTTAATCTAAAACTTGAGTCAGTACTAACTTGTCGTTCTCATCACGCATCACTAACTATCACGGTCATTGCATTGCCATTTCGTGAATTTTATGATGTTTGTGAATCTAACATCATAAAATCTTCAAGCATGTATCTCACGTTTATTCTTAGGTATGTGGGGTTTGTCAACTTCAGACTAGACATAATAAAGGCGCTTTGACTTGGTAGACTCAATGAATATCTATGCTGCCATTCACGTCAAGATGAGATTGAATTAGAGAACTCCATCCTAGAATCACAATTCTCTTCAGAATCATACAAGCATATCATTCTAGTGTCATAAATATTGATGAAGATTGTTTTGGACTTTCATTATCAAGAGTAGCCATGATTGGCATGTAGACAACTTTAGAGTGTCAATTTGAGAATTGATGGTTGATAGATCACAGACGTGTTAATTGTCAAATTTTTTTTCCCCCACTCAAGTCGAGTATCATATCTTATTATGTTTTTGTTACATATTGGTGCATATATGCACCAATATGTATTTAAGAGTATTAAATACAAAATTCAAGAACAATGACTATCAATTACAAAGATTCATGTGAGAAAACAATACATTGAGCATATGTAGTGCATTGTGTGGTTTAAACATTCCCTTATTTATATTAAATTTTTACTCTCGTTCCATTTGGTCAATTAGTTGGTGGGCTTAGCTTTGCGATGAATTTCTATCACTTATCTTTTTCCCATGAGCCCCTTTGCCCCATATGTGTCCACTGTACGAACCATACAAGCCGCTGTTTTAAAAGGCTACACCAAACCAAAGCACCGAGCCCATGACCAAATCCAAATCGTGGTACCCAAATCAGGTTCCGTTCGAATTCATGGTTCGAGATTGGAGTGAGGAAGAATATATTGAATTGAAAGACTCTTTCAGCCCAGCACAACTCCACTGGGATATTCAGAATTTTCAATCAAGCGGAGAGCTGAGAAATTGAAATTCTGGAAACTTGAAACCAACAAGAGCACAGTTCTGTCAAAGGGGGAAGAACTGAATCCCGAGCTCTATTAAGTAGTCATCCAGCTTGCTTGCTTGTTATATTAATGAATTCGGGGCATGGAGACTCGGTTAGGAATTCAAGGGAACAGATTACTAACACAACGTGTGCTACTATATTCTTGTAGGGACGATGGGAAGAATCGAGGCATTTGGAACAGCTGCTTCTGTCGTTCAAGCTGCCAGTGATCCTATACATCATCACTGCAGTGGGGTCAGCCATACACAGAGTGGATGCACTTAAACACTGACTTCGACAATAGTCATATTCCCGTACCCCAACTACAGTTTGGGGCTCCTTTTTTAGTCCATATCCTGCCCCCCTACTAGTTTCCAGTAAAGTTGTAAAAGCTTTGCCATGTCGTATAGATCCAACCAACAGGAACTGAATCAATCTTCAACCTGTTGTGAGACTTAAGCATGATGAAGACAAACAAGTAAATTCGTTATTGCCGGTAAATTCAACTAAACTTGTTGTAGTATTCATATACTAATCAGTGTGTTCGTTTGTGTGTTGTAGCTCACGAACCAATCTAGGAGTGACTCCAGTTGTATATTTCCTGTTACTGATTTAAATAAGAGCTTGTTTCAAAAGACGAAAACGTCCCATGATGCGATCGTCTCTTACATATTTAAATAAATTTAGTAGACTGGTAGACTGATCCTGATGTCCGTCACGGGATAGTTAATCACAAACAAGGTCAGAGCAGGACATATAGCTATACCTACTATTCAGAGGTTCGCTTACAAGGGGACAAATATATAACATATTTCAGAATTAAGGAGTTTGACATGAATACCTGAAGGAGTTTTAGGAATTGGAATCTTCTCAGCTCCAAATACTTCATCTGGTTATTGTGTACGAATAATTAATCATCGATTCGTATGGGATTTGTTCCCCGGTGACTGAAGCAAATCTTCCTGGATATTACCATTCCAGATTGTCTTTGATATTCTACACTACAGTATTGTAAAATGGACTGAGTTATGGGACAAGTTTTCTAGCATAAAATCTGTAACCATAACGTAAATCACTTGACTTTATAGAGAAGATCTTCTCATATAAATAAATAAGCAGGGTAAACTTGAGATCTAGAGATGAGAGATCAATAGATAAAACACATGAATTCAAATTTGACTCAACGTCAATTTAAATGGATTCATCAGAAGAGTGTGATTGTGCGTCAATACTTCTTCTCATGGAGTATCATCAGTACTCGATGTCTTCGTGATGAAATCGTTATGATGTTTAATGTTGTTGATCTAGAGCATTTGCTAAGTAGCTTTGAATGTATTCGGGAGAGGGTAGGTCGCGCATATCGTGAGTAGTGTTGGAGGCACAACTCAAAAGGCATGCGCGCGGGCGAGGGCAGGGGGCATGCCCCCTAAACCCTAAGTTCTGCCTCATTCGCATTTCCATACGTGGCATGCCCGTATGTACGAAAAAATTAAGATGTATTTTCCAGAGTTATAGACGGTGGGATCAATCAAAAAATAAATGGGAAATTATGTTTGTTGTTGGGGCTGCATGGTACTGCATAGTCATCTCCCACCTTTGTCCAGTACGTGTGAAGAATGAACGTCAATAGTTAAGATGGAAAGAAACACAAAGGAAAGAATAGTCTCAATCCTTTGGTGATTAGTGAAAATACGTGGAACAGCTGCCGGAGGTTAATCACAAATGTCTCTGCCTTGCATTGCACTTGATGCAAGATCTGGAATAGATCGGAAACCGCAGATGATCAAAATGCCCAGATTTACATCTCAATTTGAACCAAGTAGTTATCGGGAACATTGTCTATAGCATAGCCGAACTTAGTGCTCAATCAGTATCTTGAGGAACAGCTTGGGCACATAAAGCTTCAAATCCTGGCGATTTCTGACTTCCAGTCAGACGGCAGCATACTAATTATTACACGTTCATACATCCAAACATGGCTAATTATTAGAGAACATCACGCCTTCAGGGACCAACGGTGCCAACAGGCGGTTTTCACAATGAAGCAGACGGGGCAGGTGGCTTCTCGTGATTGCACTTCTCCGCCAAACTGAGGCAAACTGATTATCAATCCATATGAATGGCAGTAGATCCTAGCGTTCGATAAATCAATAGAGGAGGAACCGCAGAATATGTGCGAAAACGTAGTTTTTTTCTTGGCTACAAGAAGGTTATAGCGAGACTTTATTTAACATCATTACGGATTGCAACATCCCGTGAGCTCCTCGATATATTTGAACAGAAGCTAAAACACACAGGACCTTACGTTCTTCTGTGTCAGGTGACAGCTTCGTACAGTGCGGAAATAGCTAGTGCATTGTAACTTTGAATACTTTTTATTCTATGATCTTCTCATCGCGACCCCACTATACTTTATTTCGTTTTACCGATGGGTGATGACACGGCGACACATAGAATGTAAAACGTAACATGTAACCTCACGTTCTCGCTTACAGTTGTAGGTGTGCAAGTTAGTCTATACGTTTGATCGTAAGTTTCATGTTTCTCTTATTTGAAACCTTGAAAATACGCAAACGAGAAAGACCGGAATCTAAAACTGGGTCCACTCGCTGGGAGAAATTTGCACGACTCTGCCGTTGCCAGGTTGAACAGATCTTGCACTTTCGTCCTGCACGATGAATTCCTCAGTGTTAGAAGTCGCTAGAGGTAGCAGAAACTCGTTATAACTGTAACTCTCCTCGCAGTACAGCAAACCAACCTTCTCAGGCAGCCCGTGGAGAAGTTTCTCAACACCAATCTGCACAAATATTGAGGAAATTTCTTTTTCCTATCTCGAACCTTTTAGCGTATATGCTAACTGCAAATCTGTAAATTCATGAAAGTTGCCGATGTGTATACACAACTTACCGGGAAACTGCTGATAAACTGTGCCAACTGCTGAGTGCTTAATGTATTCTGCAGGTTGAAACCACAAGTCTTCTCATGAATATTTAAAACCTTCTACTCTTCCAAATCTCTTCTCGAGCATAATTCAGCCATTTCTCGTTTACGCATCTGCAATATTGAATGTGCACTCACTCTGAACATGATGAAGCTCAAATTAAAGGCGTAGTTTGTTCTTACAGGTTGCAACATGACAGTCCAGATGACTCCTTCGGTACATGGCGGTAGAGTCAAAGACCCAAGATATCGAGCGTACTTGCCGGACATGGAGAAACTTGGCTCCAAATTGGGGACTAACACGGGTGGGTCACCAATCTCTTCGATTTGAGGAAGCAGATGGAAGAACTGCTCTCGTGCAGCCAAAACGGGAAATTATTATCAATCATAGAACATTCTTTCACCTCTATCAATTTATCTCATTATTCGTCTGCACGTGCCTTGAATGAAGTTTTCTGTTCGGTTTCCAGAACTCTTTACATGAGGACATGGGTCAGAAAATTCCTCCTCTACTTTCATTTATCGCGTCCAAACTCTCATTCTAAATTGGATACCGAGTCATGCGCGAATTAAAAATTCTTGTCTGCCCATGCTCAGAATTGTAGAACGATCTATAGTAGCCTTATGCAGATCAAGATGAGAGGATTCGCTATGTCGAAGTAGACTTGCGACTATTAAGTGTTATCTGTTTCAAATCATGCACATTATGTTGATGAACCAACCTGTGACAAGAATGGACTGGAGGCACCAAGTGTAAAGAAAAGAGCAATGACTGCCCTTTCACCATCTGCATTCATGTGTACTATGTGCATCTCCAATTGGTACCTTCGGACAACAAATGCCATGTTCTCTGTCAAGCCTTTCATAGACTGGATGGTCCTCCCAGTGGTTGCATTATTAAGATCAGACCAACAAAGAATAATTCGAAGATCATCGAGAAAGTGTAGAAGACAATTCTTCAAGAGATTAAAAGAATGAATGAGCGAACGCATTTATTGTCCACGAGGACCCATGACGAGGGGCCATGGGAAGAAGAACCGACCTGGAGAATTACAAAAGTTAATCTTACCTGGTGATGATGTTCAGGGTGTGCTCCGCGGGTCGATGAAAATGGAGGTTGACAAAATCATACGTTTTGTTTCCGATCGTGAAGTTGCCAAAAGGTCCTACAAGCTGAAGGCAAACGTTACAATTGCAGGTCAGGTCATCATAGATCTTATGAAGCTAGAGTTGCCATGATTGTATCACTAGATTAAAAATATGATCTTGTAGTGCTGAATTCTTACAACAATTCAGCTGTACATCCTTTGAGTTTTTCCTCTTCAAAGAAGACTTTAATCACATAGGCAAGCGGAAGAAAACTGGCCACTGTTTGCAGTTCAGAATTTACCTGCGGGCTGAAGCCGTTGTTGGATAGTGAGGCGTTTGCTGTCACGTACTTGGTATCGGGAGACACCGGGAGACTGTAATTAACTGGTGATAATGGTACGTTGATGTTGATTGGTGACTGCATTGTGCCATTGCTACAGAATCCATCCGAATGCAATGGGCCATCTGGACTTGTCACATCGTGAATGAAGTCTAGATCTGTAGTTCACAGTGTTGATAAATCATTTGGTTAGATGAATGTGATTTAGGGACACACGTGTCAAAGAGACGTGAAAATATCATTATGATCACAGAATGGATGACAAGCTTTTACGTGCACTCGAAATAGAACATTTTTATTGTGCTTTGTTCCAATAAATTTTAACAGTGCTCTAAACGTGTCACCTCTACGCTATAGTACCTCATGACGTGATACGGAAATATTTGACCGAGAAGTAAGACTGCTGCCTGAGCTCGTAATCAGAACAAGTTGATGCTCTTACACTAGGTCTGACAGTGTCTCAAACTGACCTGGCTGCGCAATGGCTACCACAGCAAGGAGGAGGATGAAGAAAACCCTCCATGAGGAGGTTTTAGTCTTGATATTTGCTCGCGGGTCGTGAGATCTCCTGTACTCCATAATGTCTCGTGTTCCTTGGGCAAAGCAGAAAATGAATATTTTTACTAGTTTCAAAGTTTTGCGGAAACAATGTAAGGTTGGACTGTCAGATACGAGGGACGGAGTACTAACAGAATCAGAAATACACCGAACAAAGTGTGTCGGGAGTGCGGAAGTAGAGCTGCAGCGAGCAGCACAAGAAGCTCACAAGAATTTACTCCGGCAAACATACCTGATACAAAGCTGATGGTAAGGTCCACTTTATACACAGAGTATTTGGTGGCTGGTTGAGGAGCTTGAAGAAAGATGCATTCTGCATACTGAAGTCAATTTCAAAAGGCAATATTCTTAGCGTGATGTGTACTCTCATTCCCGCGAACTGTACACATTTGCGTGTAGTCTGCAACTCACTATATTCTGAGCTTCAGCATACCCTTCAATCAACGATGATGGAGCAAAGCTATGTGCTGAAATATCTTCAAGAAACACTCTGTGGGCTGCTCTAGATTTCAACATTGGTCAAACTTAAGACTCAGATCTAGCCGCAATTCAAAGCCAGGAGATAGACACCCTCTAGCGCTTGAATATTAAAGCTAAATTATACGTGAGCACGACCCCTGCAGTTCAGAAGATCCGCAGATTAAAATATTGTCATATCTCTTCTCGTGGTGTATTTTTTTTTTTAGTAAAAGATATTTAACATTATCAAAATTATTACGTAGAGTTGCATCAGCGTTTTGACTCACAATCCCGTCCACTTCGACGAAGTCAAATGTGTGTCTCGCTTCATAAATGAACTTACCAACCTGCTATCAGAATTCAGCACGTGGTAATTTAACGTGGGCACGAATTTTTTAACGCCTGAACACGTACGCATTCATAGATTATTCTGAGAAACTTAAAGCATAAAACTTACATCATTCCGTTCTTTCATGCCTTTAGATGTATATATCACATCATTTGTGTTGTAGTTTTCTTGCTTCAAGCTTGAGGTAATGTACATGATTCTTGCTTTTATGGAGAAAAGTTTTCCTTGTTACAAGTTGACAATATGTTGTTGCTTAAGATTGAAATGTTTTAACATTTCTGTTCTCGTAGACGGAATTCAAACATGAGTTCTCGTTCATAGGCATCAATGACGAAATCCTTCTTCTTTTCCCTTACAATTAGTCAGATTCTTAAAATTCCACACTCCACTTTTGCATTGTCTACCACAGGGAACAGTAGAAACTTAACCATTAGTCCTCTCTTCCATAATTAGAGAGAAGAAATATACGCTGAATTCACGTCCTCATGGATGCAAAATGGAAAAAAAGCGGGCCTAGTGTTGTTTAAAAAGGGTATAATTACAGTTGTAAAATTGATGCACTTGAGCAAAAATTTGGTGGACATCTAAATTTGGTATTTGAAGTTTGAAGACACATAGTATAATATTACTCAATCAATATTAGTAATCATAATGACTTGGATTTATTTTAGGCTTACTTCTTAGAAAAGAGAAGTAAAGTATGGTTGAGTGAAAGAGCTCGATAAGGCTACGTAGTATGATTTCAGGTTAGAAACATTATATCAATCATTTTTTATGACTCCTCCCTACTTCTCCTTTCTACAATATTTTTTCTTCATATCATACATGTTACTTGGTGTTTCTATTCATTATAGATATGAAGACTTTTGGAATAATGCATGCATGAAATAGCTGCTTCTCTTCCTGTCTTAAATAATGTGAATTCAGAAGCTACTCCAGCACGTGCTGTTGACTCCAGGGCTCGTTGTATTGAAACCTTTTCCATAATCAGCAGGTACTGCAACAAAGGCTGCAAAGCGAAGAAGAATTTACTGTATATGATTATTTTTGCTTTCAATATTCTGAGAGGTAATATTTACAGCTCATCATTAACTAGTCTCTCCCAGTTCTTGCGAGAGAGTGCAAGGTCATCTTGGATCTCAGCAGCAGGCTCACATTACGTAAAGTTTAAGACGGTATGTCAAGTAGTATCCTTAACTATGGTCAACCCGTTAATATGAGTAAAAATCAACAAATCAGAGAAGGTGATTGTGCAACTCATGGAGATGTATGGTGTTCTTAAACATGACTAAAATGAAGATCAACATCTTTTGGCCGGTATTCGCCGAAGCGACTTTCTTTCAGATGTTTTAGCATCATCTCTGCATTTGATTCATGAAATTATGGAAAGAATTTTTTTTAAAATTGATGATTTCCTGTATCAGCAAATGGTAAATAGATCAAGCCCGTGCTATCCAAAGGATCAAAAGGTCAATAAACACAAAAACAACCAATCTCAAAACCAGAAGAAACTCCTAACTAGTGCCCAAAACACTAGATCAAAAACTAATGACATCCCTCATAAAACAACCTAAATCATAAGGCTCAAGTTGTAATGAAGAATAAAAATTCTCAACAACAATCTTATGAGCCACTTTAATCACTATATATCTAATACAAGTAACAAACACATGTTTTTTATACTCAATTTTTCTCCCATCACATAGCTTACAATTGCTTTCCTCAATCCCAAGACTATGAGATCTTGTTCTATCCCCAGCAATAATAAGACGTAAAGATGTAGAGATCACCGCAAGTATGTATCTTTGCTCACAATAAACAAATATAGAATTCATATAAAGTTGATAAAATTCCATTTTATTGTCTCGTTTGCTCCAAATAATGCTGGAAAAACCCTCCTTAACTTGTGATCTATTCTCTTTTGTTCATCGTATGGTAATAAATATTTGAGAAAACTTTTTGGTAGTCAAGAAATCTCTTCACATTGATTTCAACTTCAATTTGGTATTCAAACTGCTGATCCAAGAGTTAATACTAATACTGTATATCAAACTCGTATGAGTCGATACTCCTAAATTATGTAAATTTTAGTATGGATCACCTTCACAAATGATAGTTTAAACGTAAAAACTATCACTTGTGAAGGCAAATAGCATATAATAATTTCAGATCAATAAATAGGGTTGGTTCATGTGTGCACAGTCTGAACATAATAAAGTTGAAAACTCAACTGAGATTCAGATGCAGAAAGTAGAAGTTCTTTGAAATATAGGGTAAAAGTCTGCTGGATAAAGATATTCATTGAGTATAAGCTTATTATTATATGAACTCGTCTGGTATCAGATTTTAAAGTTTAGAGTAGAAAATACGTTCAATTTTTTATGTAAAATTATATACATGTAAGATTTTTTTCACAAAGCAATATGAATTTGAACCATTAAAATATCATGGTAGAAATTAATGAATATTACATGCATGACTTTGCTTGGGGTTGATTTACTAGTCAGTGAATATTAGGTTTGTATTGCATTTTTCAACCTTTTGACCCTTTGGCTCCCACGGGGTTGATCTATTTACCATTGAACAATTCAATGTTCCACGTTGCACAAAGATTCTTCACGCACTGTTCACTTTTTCAACAACAACGGGGAGTGCCTGCTTTCCCGTTATTGAAACAGTGTGATCTTTTCAGCAAGAGCCACTTCCAAGGAGTCTGGCTCAATAAGAGAGAACAATGTTCCATGAATTCTCTGCGAAGTGTGTGATGAAATCATCGGCTCAGGAGATTTCGAAGACCATCTATTGGGCCAGTAAGATTATACAGCTACGGCTCATAAATCGTGGAACACCTGTTTATTGTCAAGGTCCCTGTTGTGAAGGGGAACAAGCAGGCGGGCATGCTCATATAGGCCCATACATGAATAATTATTCCTCACATGTCACTCCGATTTAAGCAACCAGTTTGGAAGTTTCATCGTAATCGTTCCCATTCATCATAATCATCACCATCACATCCCCAGAACTTATGCCGTGGTTAATAAGGGAGATTTTATAACTCTGCGATGTAGTAACACCTATGCAAACGGGACACCGCATTATTCAAGTCCGAAGAACTCAAGCTAAATCTGAAACTGAAATGTGTGTTACTGAAATCCAATTTACACGAAGTTCCCAATATCCTGTTCTTCCATGTGGTTTTAGTAAGATAATTCGAAGGGTTATATAACTCTGTTGTTGTCTCTAATCTTCACTACCTTATTACAACCACAGAGGTGATAACAGTCAACTCTTTTTGTCCGAAACGTATTTTACTCACTACAATTTGGAGCGTCTGTCAACAAGGAGGAATTTTATGTGAGCAGTTTGAGACAAAAAAGTCATTTGCGACAATTGCCTGGGCAAATGTGTTCAGAAACATCGTACAAACATTGTATATACAGGTTTGTCAGGGACCGAGGGTGCACTCAAGCGATTAGAGACAACAAATTTCGGGCTTGTTATGATGGCACTCCTCCAGCCTATCGAGGCTACGCTCTATGAATATCTCGTGGAGGCTAGAACCTTTCAGGCTAAAGGTGATCTGAGATTAACAACATATCCTGAGCACAGTATAGATAACCGAAGTGCCACATTTCTGGTTGCATCCGGAAAGCTGCATGGGTACTCTGAGTACTTTTGTAGATTTGCACTCAATCCTAGTGTTCAATTAGAACAATAAATGAGGACACAATGGCAAAAACTTATCATTTCAGATGTAATCCAAATTTGTTAAGTATCAGAAAACATGCAAGAATGTAGCCGAGTCCATTCATCCACGTTTTCTTTACCGAAAGTTGAAGACCTCTGTACGAATGTAGATTTTAAAATTTTAGAAATTAGCATATAAAATCTATATGTGTAAATGCAGTAGATAAAATCTGCGCAGGTCTTCGATATCGAGACTTTGTCTCGTCTCCGCGGCGCGTATCAGCTTTTGCAGCTTCCCCTGTCCTGGAAGTCGTCTGGACGGAGATGGTTTGTAATTTTGGAAGACGTTCGATCATGCGCTGAACTTTTCTTAATTGGAGCATTTCGATGACGCAATCCAAAGAGATTGACATCTTGTAAAGGTGAATCTAGATCAAGACTCTGAGATGAAAGTTTCACGATTTTGTAGTATTTTGGCTGAAGATATCTTGGATCCATGATGCAGAAGTGATTCATGGCTGAAGATATCTTTGAAATGATCTACTACTGTGATGAAGATATCTTTTGTCCTGAAAAATGAGCTCTTCAGTAGTGGAGGTCACAAGAAGAAGCAAAAACATAGGACTGTCACTTAATAATTGGTACGAAGATATAACCGTCTTTTGTAACAGGTAGGAATGTTACGTGTTCAGACATTGCATCTTCCTTTTCTCAAGATTTACTGTCTTCG